GTGGCGGCAGGTTCGCGGACTCTGTGTTCGGGCGGCGGCTGGCTGGCGCGCGAGCCTGCCGCCACTGGAGATGTCCAGTGTACATTCCTCCTTAATTTATTCAATACTGTAAATACCAATTTTGCTTCTTCTTTGCGCAACTAATTTTGTAAATACACTTTGTTACACTTAATGAGGGAAACAGAATCTCTGAAATATTATAAACCTTCATTGAACACAATTTTTAAAAAAATGGATTTATTTAAGTGCATTTGTCTCACATTAAAAAAAACGAGTGAAAAATATTAGAAAATATAATTTCAATAGTGACAACCAAATCAAAACTTGTTTCGACTGAGAACAGAGATTTTCAGTTCTGTGATGTCTAATTCAAATCACATGCAACTTACCTTAATTATTTAAAACTGCTTTATTTTATTTACTCATCCTTCACTAAATGCACACATTTCCCTACACACACCCAACATCATCAAGTTGCACATCATCTTGTAGTTTCCTTTTTTATAATCGTTCTGCATGTGCAATGTTTTCTGCCAGCCCTTAATAAATTTATCAGCACCGTATCTCATTAAAACCCATTTCAACACTGTACCAATTACCACTTATAAACCAATTTACTGTAAATAAACCAAACTGCAAATTTCCTCCGAAACTTTTCCAAACTATGTAATGCGCGCGCGCGCACACACACACACAACATTTGTGTTCTGCTAAATGTTAAAACCTGTAATGAAGTCCTAGAGGTACTAGTAAAATGATTCCAGGAAAATAAACTCATCGTAAACACCAGAAAACTGTCTCCCTAAACTTTCGGAATCCACTCTCTAAAGAAAAGCCTTCAGCACAATTGTAAAAATTAACCCAAAACTTCATCCTGTAAAAATAACCCCAAAACAACTTTCGTTGGATTGACTATTCAACATGATCTAAAATGGAACTCCCAGGTCACAGATCAAAACCAGCTTTCTAAGTCATGTTATGCCATATTCATCCTGAAGTCAAATTCTAACTTAGATACACTGCGAATGGTGTACTTTACAAATGTTGTCTCACACCTAAAGTATGTAATAATATTCTGAGGAAATTCCCCAGAAAGTATTCACACTTTCATCATCCAAAAACAAATATTGAGAAAAATTACAAACACTCAAATATGAGTCCAGCAAACCACTGTTCAAAAAATTACAAATACTACCATTCTCATGCATGTACATATTTGAAATATTAATCTTCACATAGAAGACACTTATGGAAAACAAGAATTCTGTTACTCTGAACACAGGTCATAACAATGATACTCGACAAAAAAGAAACCTGTATGTTCCTCACAGTGTAACGTCACTCTTTCAAACAAATACCCTTATAGAAGGCATTACACTATATAATAAACTTCCTAGTGAATTTAAAAGCTGAAACTCGTTATACATATTTAAAAATAAACTGAAAGCTTTCCTGTTAAACTACACATTCTACATTACAAAAAAATATATGCATCATAAATACTTATCTACATATAATATATGTAACATAATATATAAACTAGTACTACTAATTTTGGCATTTTCTGTTGCATATTTTCAAACCCCCCTCTTAACTGGTTGTTGGATATAAAGGACAGACCCAGCCTAGGCATGAATCTCTGAAGAATTTTTTTTTTATTATTATTGTGTTTTAACTTGTCTTCTTACACTACCATTAAAATAATTAACATTAATTTATATTATAGCTTTCCATGATATTGTATTTAATACAAGAATTGAATTTTAAATTTAATTTGTCTTGTATTTAATTTTAAGAAATTTGTATATTGTATGATTATATTACATATCTTGACTTGTCATACATGGCATATGCTGTATCTATGTGACAAATTTATTAAGTACCATAGCAACATTACCATACTAAACGTCTTAAATACCATGCCCTCGACGTTCACAAATGCGTTTTGGCGAGAACCACTGAGAAAGTAATGTGAATTAATAGGGTGGTTATAGGTCCCACGTACGTCTTAATCTCAATGGGTTGGTAAATATTGACAATCAACCATCGGTACGTCACAAATTATTGTCACATATATAAATCGATTGGCACAACTAGAAGACACATAGGTTTATGGTTGAGAGAGACGATCCTTTTTTCAGTGCAGTCATTGAAGAAATAGCGCACTCAATGAGTATCCACCCGCCCGCAAAGGCACTAATTGGCTCCTGATTCACAAAGAACCGGAAAAGCACCTCCCGGATGTGGAGCCCATCACAGATCGGTAGTTTATCGAGCCAGGTGCAAAACAGCTTGCGGACACTATTACAGATAGCCTGAGTGCGGCCGCCTTCGCCGGGCGAAACGAGTAGTGAGCCCTGGAGCTCCATCCGAGAATCATCGCACTAATTCGGCGCAAAACCAGGGCCCGCAAGGAATGGAAGCGAACGCGACATCCAGCAGATAGCCTTAACTGATTCAGTGTGCTCACGGACGCCGCAGAAGTAGCTGACTCCATCGCCGCCCTACGGAGCGAAAAAGCGCTAGCACCGGACATTCCCAATGACTTTCTTAAAAAGCTCCTGCGAAGTGCCATAAATTACTTTGTACGTACGTTTCACGCAATCTTAATTTTTTGGCTATTTCCGGCGCAATCGAAACATGCTTATATGCTTAACTTTCCCAAACCAGGAAAGAAGAGTTTGCTACAATCGTATAGACCAATCAGCCTCCTAAATACGCTCGACAAAGTCATTGAGAAAATTTTAAATTTCACAGAATAACATGCTTTAATTAATAATCAGGAACTTGGTTTCACAGCACCACGCATCAACTAGTGCGCATAGTACACAGAATTTGTACACAGAATTCGGTGGAACTTGATCGAGCGACGATTCACGGGTAGCGTTTTCCTAGACGTAGGCAGCGCCTTTGATAAGGTTTGTAACGACGGCCTCTTCGCCTAACTCATCTAAAAGAATCGATCTGCTCGTTAAATATTTGAATCAACATTTGTTTCTGATACAGGAGTGGCTGCAGCGCTAGCGTTAACGTGGAAAAGAGCCCGGCGGTGCTCTTCAAACATACGACCAGTCTCGGCCGCTCGCGCAATGGATTTCAAACATTAAATGGTGCGCCAGTACAAAGCATCTCGGCATCACACTCGACCGTGCTTTAACTTTGCGCGAGCACGCGGACGCGGTTTTGAGTAAAGTGTGGGAACGCCAGGGCATGTTGCGATGCTTATTACATAAGCAGAGCAAACTGTCCACAGCGAACAGCCTGCTGCACCATAGAGCCATGATTAGGCCCATTATGGACTAAGCCTGCCCAAGTTGGAGAATAGCGGCGCAGCGCACTTGAATAAGTTGTAAATAGTTCAAAATGTGTGCCTTCGTAGCATATTGTGCGCGCCATGTTATATTGGAATTTCAGAACAGCACTTAACGTTAAATCTACCGCTCCCCAACGAGCGCATGAGTGTTGCGAATCACGATGGCAAAATGTTGAATCCAGAATTTGCCAACGCTGTTCGGCAGGATAAGGAAAAAAGTTTCGACACGTTTCCCTCGAGTTTCCTCAAGAAATTTGGGTGTATTGTTTCTGCATTAAAGTTTTCAAAAATATGTTTTCATTACAGGTACTAAAGTGGCTCCGCTTCTGCAACCTGATAAGGAAGAGGAACCATAAGGTCCAAATAACATGTAATCAGACTTCATAAAATGTTAACATATGTTTGTAAAATATGTCAGTGCTCTGATAGCCATACAAATTCCAAACGTATGATTTGTGGTAGTTACGTAAGTGTTATGACTGATTAAATGATCATTTTCTAAAGTATTTAACATGGATTATTACAAAGTGCAAATATGCTAATAGACTGCATTTTCCTTACAAGTAAATTGTAATGAATGCTGTTGATTGATAGAGATGTGTGAATAACGGCAGGCCTGAGATCAGATACAAGAGGTATCAAATATTTGCATTTTGGGACAATCTACTTTTACTATGATTATTTGGTGTATTAGTAGTTTTACGGTAATGACAAAAAAATGTTCTTAATGCAAAGTACATCTGATCCAACGTGCAGGTCATTGATGCTGGTATTTGATTTAAAATCATTTATGCCACTTGTACCACGTAAAGATGTGTTTTGTGTTATAACTTGAAAAGTTGGAGATAAACAATAATTGCATTAATAAAGATAAATGTGAACGTCAACAGTTGTTTCAGTAATGTGCAATTCATAGTAATTGAATGACGGAATGTCTGCAATTCCAGATTATTCTTCTATTCCTGCGCTGTATTACTCTATAATATATAAAATTGTTTTCAGAATGTATTTTATGAATCCTATAAACAAACATGTTTGTTTTTATAATTGCTAACCGATTCTTCCCAACCACAATCGTTATTTTTAAATAGGCGTAAAATTTGCTGAATACGTTATATTACAGAGGTTAATATATCTACATCGGATGTCCAAATAGATTTGAGCACCGTGCGCCTGAGCCTGCTGTTTGAACGCTCAATAAGTACCCATTCTCTGGCCACAGAGTGGAATGTTGTCGATTTAACTCCTGTACCTTATTGTAGATGGTGCTACAGGAATTTCCCCTCCTAGAAAAAAAAGATTCTATATTCCTCCACGCCCATGCGCTCTGGGCCATGGAACGACCAGGAAGTTGGTGCCACATCGAACGTGAAAGCACTATCGATCTTTTGCACATGCACAGTTTCGCAGCACTTTAGTGCATCTGCGCTTGCGCAAAAGATTGATATTGCTGACGCTATGGCATGCACAAACTTCTTATGTTCTAAACTGTGGCTTCACTGTGCCGATGTGGACTTTTCGTTCAAGGAGTAATCATATCAAAACAAATTAAGCTCAAAGAGTATAAATAATAATAAGCTACCTGTTGAACGAATATTACACGAACGAAGAACATGGATATATTGCGATTGGTCGTGGTATGCACCAAATGAGGTAGTTACATTTGAAAACTGACATATATACGTACCTCAAGAAAGGTTTGAAGAGCAGCGATAACGGCGAAGAAGAACACAGTAAGTCCAAGTAATGAAGTGGCAATTTTCCACCGCATTAAATGTTTCATCTTTCATTCTTTTAAATTCGAACTATTTCGTTGACTTTTGTGACATTCGACGACTTAGCTTTCCGTCCGGTTGATCGTTTTTCAACGAGATACTGAGCATTACAAATCATACTATCTATGCAAGTCGCTTTCTCTAGGTCCAGACAATTGCCATTGTTTGCATGCAGCTTTTGTGGCGCAGTCTTAAGGGCAAATGTCAAACTTGGATATCTTGGTAAAACATAGAATTTATAATTTTTTAATGAAATATTGTGCTGAACCTAACCTAATCCGAACTGTTTTAATGAGCCGATTTCTTGAAAGATATGATTGATATATTACGTAATTCTGACCAGTTGTGGCGTTTCATAGTTAGAAAGAAATTATTCTAAAGCAAACATTTTATGACTATCTTGGAAGACATTGTAATCTGTAAATAAGTCTGTAAATAATTTCATTTTAAATAAAAGTTGAATTCAACCATGACCAATTGTAGGGCCGGCCGGAACACCCGAGTTTTGTTGCCATGTGGGTGGGTGTGATTTCGTGGGTTGAGGAGGCGTACTGTCGCTCTTCTTTTAGAACCTCAAATTGCATGGTAATATCGTAAGCATAATAACCAGTGTTCATTAACATGAGTTAGAGTAAACGTCCATAATATTTCACGATTTAGCATAACTACAGAATAATTCTTCGTATTATTCATGTAGCGTCCAAGTTTTATGTTTATGCAATGCTTTTCACTTGTTATCGTACTACTTAATTCAGAAAGTTTTATCCGTTGTATCGACTACAATGTTTTGCGTGTGTTGTACAGATAAACAGAAATGACAGATCCTCGCATTAAAATTCTTCGAATCAAGACTGGAGTGGTCAAGCGTTTAGCTAAGGAAAAGTCTATGTATGAAAGAGAAGCTGATCAGCAGAGGGTGCGCATACAAAGTTATAAAGATCAAGGTATGTATGTAGTCATGTGCAATAGAAAAATAATGTTTAGTTTTAGATAGTGAGGAGGTGAAGAAAATGTTTAGAAACGTTTCGTATATCGAAGTTTTGTAGTACATGTCATTAACAATTGCAGAGGTTCATAAAGTGATATATGGGAAACATTTGTACATTTCTGCTCTTCTTCCCATTGTAGTGTGCAATATTAGTTTAATTCTGTAAATGAAGTCATTCTATTACTTTCTAAAATTTGTTTCTGCTCAGGAAAAGACGAACACGAGATAAAGAAGCAAGAAGAGGTTCTCAGGGAATCTCTGATGATGGTTCCAGATTGTCAAAAAAGACTTGTAAAAGCATTTGAAGAACTCAAAGTTTTGCTTGAAAGTGAAAGTGACTTAGCAGACAAGGAAGAATATTGTACTGCACAGAAAGTTTTAGAGGAAGCTAAAGCACAGTTACCAGATTCAGAATTAATGCAGTACTCCTAAATATCATTATACTAATATTTACTAAGTTAAATTCATTGTTGAAACACATTAACTTTTATTGGACTTTAATCTATAACATTTAACTAGTGTCAAAGCAATTTAAGTAACCTTTTTAATTTGCTAACTTTTATTAGAATTATAACATGTACCAAGGTTTGCATCCAAAAACTCCAGAGAATACGCCCACACCATCTTACCTGTCATTAAACTCACAACACCATGAAATAAAACCATCACATGTGTACAATATTCTTCCTCCAAATGTGTTTATTAATTCTTACACAAACTATCAAGGAAATAGTCATGCAACCTTGCCCGAAAGACATACCACAAGCTTTTTAGTGCCGCCTTATCCACCACCTAATTTTCAAAATAACTCATTTGCCCAAACTAATGGACGTTTCCTGCATAGCAAGGATGGAGGTTCTCCAAATCCATTTCTGTTCAATGTGCAATATAATAGTATTCCACCGAAAGAAACATTTGGTGACATTCCAAAATTAAATGAGGCCAGTGTAATTAAACCAGAAGCAAACATGGCATTAACAAAAACATTGTGGATTGAGAGTTTACTTCCTAAAGATTGTGAGCAGAAAGCAAAAAGGCCTCCCAAAAAGTTAATAAAGGCAAGTGTAATTTTGTGTTGTTTTTATTGCTCTAATTTAATAGAACCATACATTGATGTGCTCTTTTGAATAATTGAAGGTTTCGGAAGCTAAGAATTCTTTCAAGAAATGTATTACATTGCTACAAGAATTAGAGGTATTGAAAGAAAAAATGAACAAAACATACGAGAACGTGACATCAGAATCCTGGAATCTGCATTGTAAAAACTTTTTAGAGATGAAGGTAAGTGGATTTTAATGACTTAAATCATAAAGACTGGTGTAGTTCGTATCCTGTAAGCAATTAATGACCATCTTTTCTGACACTCGTTTAACACTAGTGTTACTCAGTGTGTTCAGTGGAAATTGTTTATTTCTGAAGTTGGAAAGTTTGTATGCTATTAAAGATTGATAATTATGAAAGAATTGCTAAATAATTTGTTCTTTCCTTCATCGTGAATTCTAACATTTTCTTGACAATTTTAATAACTTTTTGTCATGGTTAATTAAAATATCTTTGGGAAATTACCATAAATTGTTAGTAACCGTTAGGATACATCGTGTTTTTTTCACATTTTCACAATAATGATTTCTTAATGAAATAATGTGGGTCTTTATATGTATATACTTCTTTTTTTTTAGAATAAGTTCTTTGATCTAATAAAGAATATGCCTGATCCCTGTGAACTTAAAGAAACTCTTGAAAAGCGATGTAAGAAAAGAAAGTGCCAGTACATAAGAAAGAAGAGGAAGAAAGAAGAAAACATTGCTATTGGAGAGAAAAGACAAGTTTTGCATCATAAAATAGACATGTGGCTCAAATTCATGCAAGAGACAATTGACCGTCACAGAAGAGTAAGGACCCTACATATCTTGTTCAGAGAAACCCTGATGAACTGTAAAGTATTGCTGTTTATTTGCAATTCCTTTGTTTTGATGGTAAGGATATGTTATTTTTTAATAGGAGGAAAGTTTGAAAAAAGAGGCAGACAGTGTGTTGTCAGAAGTTCTTAAGAAAAAAGTTGAAGGCCGACGTCAGTTGTTACTTCTAGAAGCTCTTATTAAACTGAGGCAGTTAAGGGTAAAAACTGCAGTTGGTAAGGGCCAGCATGTACCTCCAGATGATGGTATTCACTTTGAAAAAGTGGCAGGTAAATAAATCTTACAGATACAATTATTTGATGTTGTGTATTAGTATATAATGCCTCCTTTTGGTTTATTTATCAGAAAATCTAAGAACATTATGGGCTAAACAACTTAAGGAATATAATATAGAAGAACAAGGAATGCGTGTGATGCTAAGTGAAGCAGTTGATGAAAGAGATCAGTCACAAGCATCACGAGAAAGGCAGGTTCTCTCCAGATGGGATAAACTTCTCTTTGGGAACAGACCATGTGATTTTCCAGAGTTTTATTTAGTTGCTGAGAAAAATGTCGAAGCATTTATTAATATCAGGTAATTATCCCTAGGTTAAAAAGAAGTAAATGTATCATTTCCTTTATGATCATAGATATATCCATTAAAATAATATTCATAAAGTATTTGAAGAAATGTATTTAATTTGTAAAGCCGGTAAACAGAAGATTAATATTATAATTAATGTGTAGATTGTAGAGAGATTTAAGTTTTTACACTTCAAAAATTATGTATTTTGTAAATAGATATGTTGTAAAAAGTAACTATCATCAAAGTATTGTTTGTTTAAAATTTTTACTACTTTTCAGGCACTCATGGGATAAATTTATTGTTTCTGACCAAGCATCTATGCAGTCCAATATACCAGTTGGTTGGATCCTTCCTGAAAACCCTTCTGCTGCAAATTGGGAGTCTTTACTTTTACCTGAAAAAACAAAAACTTAATCTTTTGAAATGACTTTCTTTGCTTCAATAAAGAGAAGTTACATATTATTTACAGTGTTGTAAATGTCATCAAGTTGACTTGCTTTTTTTAACAAGGGTATCATTAACATTTTGCTATCAAAGGGACAATTGTTTGTAGTACTAATGTGTACTGCCATTTTTGGCAAAAATGCTGCACACACAGATTTGTAGGTAATTCCTTGATTTTCTGTGACATATGTGGTGCTATTTGCTCTTGACTATGTTGCAAATTTCAATTTAGTAGCCAACTTCCTAAATGTGAAATTCTTATTATACATTTTAATGCTCTTTTGTAATTCATTGAATTGCTGTTTTCATAACATTTTGCAGTATTATTGTGCATCAGGTAATATTGTACATACATTGGTCAATAAAGTTCACAATTTTGCTAATAATATTATATGAAAATTTCAATTTTTATTTGTAATTGTTAATAGCATTAGAAGGGATGGGAGGTATATCTAAGTCATGAAATTCCTGGGCAAAACTTCATTCCGCAATCCTCAATGTTGAGAAAATAATTTAGGCCTGGTAAAGTAAATGTAGAGTTGAAAAACAACATACATATAGTTGCATGGATGTGTATTTGAGTACCCACAAAAATTTTCTACATCTGTACACTATGAATTATATTATTCTTTTTGTAGAAATTGGAGATCAGATTAGTCTATAATTTTGTTTTTCATCCAATCAACTTTATTCATTTAATCATGTAGGTGCAACCTGTTGATGCATCTGCCATAAGCAAGACCAGGAATCATGTGTAAAGATCGGATTTGTATGCTCTAAAAATCTAAAATATTTATGTGAACTGAAAACTAAAAATGTGCCTTACACTTACCTGTAGTATCTACACGTTAGGGCTTAATTTTATTTATATTTTTCTGCACGGTATATTAATTCAGCTTCTTCTTTCTGTGCTGCCCAATGAATTTCAAAGTGAAGTATTAGTAGCCAATAAATACATTTAACAATTAACATTAAAACCACATTTGATCGTAATTTTTGGAAACCTTTAGCACCCACATTAGTTCCACATTAAGTCCCGAGTCATTTCCTTTCTTTCATTTTGCATCCATTTGTATTCTAGTCTAAGCAGCCTCAGTTACTTGTGGAGTTTCAAATCTCATATTAACTTGTCAAAGTCTCCAATTTTCAAGATAGGTTTGATGGCTCATATAAAACCACAATTGAATTACAAATGTGGACATATGTGTGTTCCAACATCTTTCAAAATTGCTTAAGCATTCAGAGAGTGAGAAGGAGGGGGGAAAGGCAGTTTCGCCTTGGTTCCGACCTGAAAATGTTGAAGCCCATATTGTTGCGTAATAAAGCATTATTTCCGTAAAAGTATTCAGTTTATGATTTGCCCCCTTTTCTTAAAATTATTTTGGGAAGATGCCCAGAAAATCATCTAGCAACCCTGGAAACTATTGAACATATCTTCATTTATAATTGTATCAATAGTTACTATTTCATTCTCTTGGCATATCTTATTTATATATTAGTAAATTATATCATAAGTAAAAAAAGATGAAAGTTAATGGAAAAAGGAGCCCAGATCCTTGACATCTTTATTTTTCGCCGCCAATATTGCTCGTTCACCCAGCCAATTATGATTATTGAACTTTTGCGCTATATCTGGGAAAAAACGCTGAATAAGCTCCTCTTTTGAGTCTTGTGTGTGATATGACAAAAATCTGCGAGTAATGTGATGAATCCGGTCGAGGTGTCCACTGCGACTTTATTATTTCCAATGTCTAACAACTGCTTCGCAAACACATTTGCAGTTTTATCTTGTTGCAAAAATACTTGCATGTTAGTTGTTAAGTGGAGTGTCTTTATGTACTGCCACAAATTCGATGATTTTAGGCATGCATTTAGTGCATCAGCAACAGTTGATTGGGGAATAACTGGAAGAGTCTGACGAAAATCACCTGACAACAGAATCATGGCCCCACGAAAAATATTTTGGTTGTCAGGAAAATCTTTCAACGTTCTGTCCAGTGCCTCCAGTGACCTCTTATGGGCCATTGTGCATTCATCCCAAACAATCAATTTGCATACCTTTAGGATCTTGGCCATTGCTCTATTTTTGGCGATGTTGCAAATTGGTGTTTCGGTGATTTGCATGTTTAATGGTAATTTCAAGGCAGAATGTGCAGTTCGCCCGCCTTCTAGCAGAGTTGCAGCTATTCCAGATGAAGCCAACGCTAGAGCAACATCATTTCGCGATCTGATCCTCGCCAAAAGCAATGAAATTAAAAACGTTTTTCCGGTTCCTCCGGAAGCATCAAGAAAATAAATTCCACCAGATTCACTGTTCACAGCTTCTATCAAAGTGTCGTACGCAATTCTTTGTTGTTGATTTAATTGTGGAACATTTGTACGAACTGTTTCGGCCAATGCTTCAATGTCGTACTGTTCTCTTTGCAACTCGTGGTTTAATGCATCGTGCATATGAAAATTTTGTGCTATCATTCCCAAACACGACAATACTTTATTTGCCATCAATAAACACATATCTTCTATCATGATCAATGTCTCATTGTAAATTTCCTCAGTCATTTGTAGTGTAGGATTCAAGGTTTGACGGCGCACACGTTGCAAAACATTCTCAGACATGTCATCTCTATACTTAACCCACAAATCTTTTGGATTCGAAGGGAAACATGTCGATATGATAATCGCTAACAATGTACGAATTTGATGCGGCGTTGAAGATATTACGAAATCCTTGAGTGTATCATCCCAGTGCGAATCGTTCTAAAGTAAATATAATAGTTGACCTGCCTCACAGTAAGTCGCACACAGCTGTCCATTAACTGTTCTCAGTTGTTTAAACGATGTCGGACCACGAACATTCACCAACAACAACCGCAAATAATAACATTCATCGTTATTTGGATGTACAGTGTAGATGCGACCCAGAGCCTCTGAAGCAAATACATTTGGATGTCCTTCAACTTGTGTTCCTTGTTTTCGTCGCTGAAACGATTTCGATGATGCGTTCCATGTGTATAGCTAGTCAGCATACAGCTAAGTGCGAGCAAAATCATCAGTTTGACAGACTGAAGAAACTTGTTAATGTTGCCGCCCTGTCTGCTGCGTTGGATTCATTAAAATAAACTCGTTGACCATTTTC